CAAAACACATGAATCAATTATGTACTTTTATTCATTTACAATAAATGTCATCAAGTACATCAATCTGATTGGAGCTAAGGGCATACACTGTCTAACATAAACTTCTATCTTCATGTGATTATTATCCTTAAATAGTACACCTCTGCCTAGACACCTCTTCAAATATGCCAATATCCTCTCAACTGCAAATAGGTGAGTAGTTCTAGGAGAGTACATATACTGACTAACAACACTAACTGCATAGTTGATGTCCAGTCGTGTGAGACAAAGATAGAGGAGTTTTCCAACTAACCGTTGGAACATAGCTTTATCTTCAAGAGGCTCTCCACCTTCCACACTGATCCTGTGATTCTGTTCAATAGGTGTGTCAGTAAGCTTAACACCCAACTTTCCTGTTTCCTCCAACAAATCAATAACATACTTCCTCTGAGAAACAAAAGTCCCATGCTTGGACCAAGCTACCTCAAAACCCAAGAAGTATCGTAGCTCTTCCTGGTCTTTTACCTTAAACTCTTGATGAAGAAGTTGCTTAAGAGACACAATCTCACTGTTATCAYTCCCTGTCACTACAATATCATCCACATATACAGCAAGCAAGGTTAGGGAAGAATCCACTTTCTTAATAAACAAAGTGTGGTCTGACTGAGCCTACACATAGCCAAACTTTTCAAGAGCTTGTCTGAATCTATCAAACCAAGCTCCGAGGGACTGTTTTAGTCCGTACTAGGCTTTATTCAACCGGCAAACCTTCTTTCCTATCTTTGTACTATAAAATCCAGAAGGCAACTGCATGTAAACTTCTTCTTGCAAGTCTATTAAGGAAGGCATTTTTAGCATCCATCTGAAACAAAGGCTAGGAGTAATTGGCTGCAAGAGATAATAAAACTCTGATAGTGGTCATCTTTGCTACTGGTGCAAAAGTCTCCAAATAGTCTATACCATATGTCTAAGTAAATCCCTTTGCAACTAATCAGGCCTTGTACCTTTCAATGGAACCATCAGCATTATGCTTCACAGTAAACACCCATCTACATCCAACCGATTTCTTCTCTTTAAGTTGATCAACTAGCTCCCATGTATTGTTTCTCAAAAGGGCATCCATTTCTACCTTCATTGCATCCTTCCACTCAAGAACTAACAAGGCTTCCTCCACTGTTCTGAGAATGGGAATATCAGCAATGGATGCAAGAAAGGACTTGTAAGAGGGAGACAAATGACCACAAGACAAGAATTATGAAATACAGTGGATCGTGGATGAGGCGCAATGGTGTTTGCCTTTACGGACTGCAATGGGGAGGTCAAGATCATCCAAAGGAGGTGAGGGCTCAACAAAAGGTGGTGAAGGCTCAACAGTGGAAGGTATCTCATCTGTAATAGAAGATGAACTGTGGCACCTGGACTACTGATGACCGAAATCAACCTGCCTCCACCATCTGTGATAGACTCTCAAATCTCGACACCTCTGACAACCTTCCCCATTACATCCCTCTTCACTCAATGGGACAGGTAAAGGAACTTCTGATGTGGTAACCCCAACCTCACTACTCTCCCCCTGAGAAGAAACCTTGGGATAATAAGATACATCCTCAAAGAAAGTGACATCATAGAGACAAATCTCTTTCCAAAAGTAGGTTCATAGCAACAATATCCCTTTTGAGTTTGTGCATAACCAAGGAAAATACATTTTGAGGCTTTATGATCAAATTTGGAATAGTGAGGGCTGTTGTGAAACTTATTTTGGTATGCTGTTAGTATGCTGTCAGCTAGTTCCTTTTCTTCTTTTTTGTTATTTGTTCATTATTATGAATTGCCACCAAGGGCATTCTTGTAATTACTGGTCTTATTATGTTAAGAGTATAAATAAGAAGCTGGTAGCCGACCAGCCCTTTTTGTCTTTGGTTCTCAATCGAACCTCTCTTCTCTTCTCTCTCTCTCTTCTCTCTCTCTCTCTTCTCTCTCTCTCTTTTCTTC